AAGTATATATATTATGAAAGCTTGAATATTGTGGAATACAACTGACCATATTGCGTGCCCAATGTTGCCGATTTGATCATGTGACACTGTTTTTAGCTAAACCCCCGAAAAAATTTGCAATTGTTAACAGACTTGTAATACACAAATTTAATCATATCATGCAATTCACTATTCAGATCACTGATCACTAATTCTTGAGATATCGCATTCCAACATAACATAAACCCCTTGTTACTGAAAAAAGGCATATTTCAATGATCTAGCTTACAAAATGAAATTTTTGGTTTATATCTGTTTGTAATAGAGCTACATGCTACAGTATAGTTAAATTCTGCAGATCGAAATGTAGTTTGTCAACCCCCTAGTGATCCTTTGTTCTGGGCTTAATAAATTCTTATCTCCACAACGAGCATCAGAAACAAACAAAGACATAATCAATCATTATTTAGACACAAATAAAATAGCTCATAAAATCAATGATTTATTTATTTAAAGTCACACTCACTTGCTCTACAAGATTTATCACAAATAACTACCATATATAACAAATATATTTTATTTACAACCATAGTATTACACTGACTCATTACATACTGTTGCTGTGTAACTTTCTATTCCATGCTTTGAAAACAGTATTATCAATAGTATTAGCAGTAGTACTATAATTATTATAATTTAAACTATTAATTTTTGTATTAACATGTAAATCATGTAAAATCATGAATGTCTATGGGGAAGACATTAATTTGCTCATCCTATGATGTCCAACCATGAAAAATGTGTCTTCAGGAGTGCAGTAAAACAAATACTCTGGACGGTGATAATCAAACCTACAGTAGTCATGTTCATAATGACTATAAATGTGCAAGAACCAAGTAACATTAAAAGAATCACATTTGAATTCACTCACTTCCCTGAACTTAAGAAAAGCTTTTGGATCATGATATTCGTTTGTCTAAACAGTCTTTGTATGGGATCCATGGTATCCGTCTATGCGGGTTTGAGACTTATCTGTCTGGACGCAGCCAATTGTTTTCTTTCCAGAATTGAGCTGACCAACAAACTTTCTGTATCCGTGGGTGCATGTCCCCCCAGGTTCGAATATTTTATTAGGTTCTTTGTTATTTTTTTATCTTAATTAGTGCAATTGACATGTATGTGTACAACCAAATGTTAACCTTGACTAGATGTAATATAATAAATAATATTATTATATCTGTCACCTCATCGGCATACTATAAGTTACAGCGTGTCGTAACTTTGTGGTATTTTACGGGGTATTTTCATCCTACCATATTAGGAAATGCGAATTCCAAATATGGAATAATTACGTGTGTAAGCGTCCTGTAACAATAAAAACAAACATGGCTGCCACCAGGATTTGATCGGACTCCACACAAAGAAGTTCGCTGATTTTGTTCTAAACATTTTGGATTTTGGCATCCCAATGGTGCATCCTTGGAAGGAAAGATTTTACAATAATAAGTTTATTACGAGTATACGTCAAAGTATGCACTCAGACAGTACGCTGCGCATCAACCTTTGCTGCACGCCAGTCGATACTCCAGCTGTACTGTCTTTGTGCATACTTTGAGGTACCTTCATATTAACGTCATATTAATACCACCACCAATAAGAATACCAATCTCCCAGTGAACAAGGGTTAATCATATGTCTACCAACCCTAAAAAAATAACCTGTTGGGCTTTTGCGTAAAATTCAGCGTTGTTTGAATCTGTACGTTAGAGTGTTTCATTGTACAAATGGTATATTTCAGTCCACTACTAGTATTAACCATTTTGCATGGTTTGGAGGAAGACTAACCCATAACCTCTGTATCATTTTAGACATTTTGTCTAATTGTACTTACAGAACTACTTGATTTTGGAACTCATTGTCCATCGTATAAGTGAATATCCTTTTAAAATGAAATTGAAGGAACAAATGCATGGCAGCAGCCATGAGTAATTTATTTTAATTTTTTTAATAACTGAAGAAAATTACGTTTGCACATGTAACTTGCTATTATTATTATTATTATTAACCAATATAACTTAATGGCAATATACATACCAGACGTGACCAGCCCATGCTGCACTAACAACGAAAAAAGAGAGTAAGTACGCCACCAACAGCAGAGCTAGTACTGTCATAAAAGTGGATTCAAAACTCTGTAAGGATAGAAAGGAGATACACAAATAGAAGACACATTCGAGATTGTGGAATATTTATCTCTTGTTAAAATATTTACTTATGGTGACAGTACAAGGTGGATGAAAATCAAGATTAGTCAATGGACTTTTCAATATTCAATACTTGACATAATATGCGACTTAATGTGTGAATATTACCTATGATATGTTATTATTAAAGTTACAAAGGAATGACAACACAAGATTGGAAGAGTCGTCTATATTCTATACAAGACTAAGATTTCAAACATATACTTCATACGAATACAATATCAAGAGTAGAAATCCACTCTGTGGGAGAATTCAATATATATACTGTAAAGGATTAATTATTCACTGGGTTTTAATTTTGCTTATTTCGCTGACTGGAAAATGCACTAAATTAAAACTCAGTGAATATGTAAAATTGAGCATAGCACACATTATCTAAATGATCAAACCGTGAATTCAAAACCCGCTGAATATGCCTGAAATAGTAATTTAAATCAGCAAAATTTAAACCCAGTGAAAATTAGCCATTATACAGTAGTACTTCTTTTCCCACGTTGGGCACACTTTCACCAATTTATTTATTATTATTATTAAGAAATAATGTATTTGTTCATGGAATTATAATTTCAAAAGTTTCACTGCTTCATCTAAAAGCATAGACTTGCTTCCATGCTTTTGGTTCTGATGAAAAATTCTTGAAAAATAATTATAAATTGCGTCAAAAAGGAGTGATATCCCAACAGACTTAGTGTCAGTGTAAGTGCCCTCACATTATCGGCTAGATTCTGGCTTGTATTAAATTTGCAATTTAATTTATTTTTCGAGAATTTTTCATTGAATCGCAACAGATGGCAAGCAAGTACTAAATTCAGTACAGGAAAGGAAAAGATATATTTACATGTATATACTCACTGCATGGGGTTCAATCTTTGCATGCGCAATTGGTAATATCTTGACATGAAAAAAAAAAAATGATGAAATTAAATTTCAAATTTGTTGGTTATAACAAGAGTACAGTTAATCATGGAAGTAATTTCCTTTTACCTCCATGAGTTAATAAAAAAAAACTGCAATACTAACTTGCATGTAGGGTTATACCCCGGTATATTACAGTGTCCCCTGCTATTAAAACACAGTGCAGAGAACATTTTGAATATTACCCGATATACAAGTAACTTATTAGTTTACATCCGTCACCGTATCTCATTAGAAAATCTGAATTCCAGTAACTGACTATGTTACCTTACCATAACTGTTGCGATGATAGAGAATATTGCGTCGCTGTATGCTTGAAGTCTGGACGAGCTAGTCATTGAATGGCTACTTTCTTGTCGGTTATATTGAACAGTGCTCGGTAAGTCTTGGCTAAGATGATCACTGTCTTCTGTTCCTGGGCTCCCATGAACCAGGGAAAGGCGACTGCTACTGGACATGTTGCCTACACTAGTACAGATACACAGTTGTCCTGCCTGGAGTAATACTCACATGACTAATCAATCACAAGGCAAAGGTCACGAAGTTACTTTCGTTTCCGCCATGTGCGAATGTTGGACACTGAGGGCGCACATTCCAACTACCCGAGTATTTGTAAATTTCTTTTTCCTGATTACAATCAGATGTTGTTAGAAGTTTATGCCCGTTACTGTACACGTGAGACGTGTACCTGTAGTCATAAGCCGGTAACATACATACATTGTATTTATGAATTGTAGTTTAGTTGGACTATGTTCTATTCAAAATGAATAATGTCAATAAAGTTAAAGTTACATGGCCTCTACCAACCTGATTAAATTAAATATACTGCCGGACGCCGTGTAATTTTTTAATGTCATATATTATATTGTTCTGTTATTTGTTTTTTGTTTTTTTATACATGTATATCTTATTTTGTGTTATTGTATTGGTTCACCGTCATTGAAGAACTTCCAAATCTTAAAATAAAAATAAAGTACATACCTATTTTAATCAGATTGACTTTACTGTCAACTGTCATCGCGCGTCAGGCTACGACAAATCTCGCGTCTCACTAAACATCTCGTCATCGCGTGTCAGACTGCGACAAATCTCGCGTCTCACTAAACATCTCGTCATCGCGCGTCAGGCTGCGACAAATCTCGCGTCTCACTAAACTCTCGTCATCGCGTGTCAGGCGACGACAAATCTCGCGTCTCACTAATCATGCTCGGAATCGGGCTGATAATAATCTCGGATTTTCCCAAACATTTGCATATTTATGGACTTGTACATCGCGCTTCGGGCTACGAAAATAATTCTCGCATTTTGAAATAAGATAGTGACATCTCGCGTCGTACTAAAACATTCGCCTACAGTATAAACATCTTGTTAAAATCACATAGTCATAGAATATTCTCGGCTTTTGTTTCTTGTTAGCGGATATTGAAATAACGAAACTTACTCGGCAAATGGCAATTTCCGTTATTTTTCTTAATATGCGTCCTTCTAATGCTGGCGGTCCTCTAAAGCTTTCCATAACATATACAGTACCAACGATTTGACAAACAGCTGTAAAGTGTGAAGGTGATCTCATGTCAACACGTTTAACATTAGCATAACATTCTTAACGAGTTTAAATCAAGCTTAATCTATACAAATGATACAAGTAAAAAAATAACACGGACAAAATAGGATAGAAACCTCGAGAACTTTAAAAAAAAAAAAAAAAAAAAAAAATCAGTGTGAGGCAGTAAGAAAACTATTCAAGTCAGTGGAAAAAATAATAATATAGAAGCCCTGAGAAACATAACAACGACGAAAATAAAACATAAAAAACTCAAATTGAAAATAGAATAGAGACCTCGAAAATAAAAAAAAGTTGGTGATAATATATCAAAACAAAAAATACTTGAATTAAAATATAATTATGAAGGAATTCCTTTTGCCCAAGATAAGAAAACGGAAAATCACTGAGAATGAATATTAATAAATATCAAATAATCATTATAAATTAAAAACAGGGTTGAAACCTCGAGAAAAATACGTCATTGGCAATGGAACAGTATCTACAAAATTAAAACTATCAAATTATAGCATATTCTTATCATGTGTAAATCAGAGCACTAAGAATAGCTGTTTTAGATGTAATCACCCCAAATTCCTCCACCAGTTAATACGAGTGAGAGCGAAGACTCTATCATTAAGGTTTGAGAAACGTTTGACAGAAGAGGGCACTACTTGTTTTGATTTGTTCATTCGAAAATTCATGGAGATATACATATATATATTCTACTTGCAGCATTTCCCATTATATTACAGACACTTGAGTGTCTTTAAATGTCAACAATGTATAATTAACAGAACTAGTTGTCCCAAATATCTATTCATATGGCACACAATCTTGTAGGCATATAGACACTACCTGAATAATGAGAGTAAAAATGATGTATATACGTAAGTTTGGGTACTAAGTGTACAAGTGCACCCGCATTTTAATTCTCTTAGTTATCTGAATAAATACATGGAAAAAACGTATTTATTTGAGATTTAGTCCATTGATTTTACACAAAATAGAAAATATCTAGTCAAATCTCAAAACGTATATTAAATAAAAAGCAAAGTATCCTCTTTACGAACTGCTCTCCGCGAAACACTCGACTTCAGATACCCGTGCGTTAAGCAAGCTATCGACGTCATACATGTATAATTTGTAACCTAGACTGACCGATACGTTAATATCGTGTTTTACTACGTTAACTATAATGTGGAATACTAATTACGATGTTGTTCGCAGGGTGTCACACATTACCGAAATACATAATTAGTATTAGTTATACCATTGTCGACATTCTTAATTAGAACATTGTTTCAATATATATATATATATGTATATATTATATATATATATATTTATATATATATTTATCGTCAAGATCTAGCATAGTGATATCGACAATCATTGCCAACACTTGAATGATATTAAAACCAAACGTCTTGTCTTATAGCCCAAATCATCCTTAATTCATTATGTCTGAATTTAATTTATTTTCCGCTTTTGACACGTTGCATATACGCCATGTTTGATGATGACTTGATTGAAATATCACAAATATTTATTAAGGATTTGCAGAATTTGTCAAGATTATTTCAGTTCGTTCATGATTCACCGTGAACTCGAGCTCAGATTGTACACTTGAATGTGCCTATGAGTCAAGTGCCCTGGCAGCGACCCCCACCAGAGTTAAACCAACACAAACACATTGCCACACATATACGTGTCATTATCGTTCGATATTGTGTATCGTGTTTGTTAACACTTTTGCCCACCAATTTATTAATACAATATTTGTTATGTGTGTTTCTATAATTCCCATGTTAGACATACTGTTTGATTTGCTGCAGGTAAAGTCATGTGGGTTGTTTTACGGATAGTAAAAGCCAGCCAGGTGTTTGGAGGGTTAAACGGCTCCATTATAGTCACATGTTTTTGTGATGCAAACTGCAATATCTGTAACATATTATTAGTGTATACAAAGCGGGTATTTAAGATGCATTTATTTGCGGTTCATCGTGCTGCAATATAACTTACAATTAAGCTCTCCTGGGAATCTTCACATATATACATTCTAGCGGGATTGCACATGGGATTAAAATAATCTGTAATTCCGCTCACCCCGAGAATTGGGAAAACTAAAATAAGCCATTATCTCAAAATTTGAATTCAGCATTGGGGCCTGATAGCCAAATGGATGAATGAATTTGTAATGTTGTAATAACATGTCAAGTAATATGTGTACAGTATTAAATTACAACGAATGGAGTCAGAACAGTCGAGGATATGAACATGGATTGATTTAAAAGTGAAAAATTAGCTTTTTTGTATAAAGGATAAACCATAGCAGAATGGTGAAACGTATTTTGTGATATCTATATATTTTATCGGTTTATACAATACAGGTAATTACGATCAATATTTTACAACTAAGCACTCCTGGGAATCTTCACATATATATTTGCTAACTAATTCCTTTCTCTTGAGAAATGGGATTTGTTTGCCATGTACGCCATGTCACTTAAAGTATCACAGTTGATAATCTCTTGATTGCTTAATTATCTTCAACGCTATGTGCTCAGTGTTAAATGTAACCTTTGTCGTCACCGTTATTTGTCAGTAAAACACTGCCTGTCAAATCCTTTCACCGCCTAACAAATGAAACATGTCAAATGTCAGCTTATGTATTGGGATCCACCGTCACCTTTGTTTATGGGAATTTTAATTTGAAAGATGTTGACAGCCTGTATGAGAACCTGCATTTAAAATTATACGAATCAACATTGTCAGTATCAAAATCCTGCCTCCACCACCACGGAATGGGTTGGTGTAAACTTTCACGAGTAATGGCCAGCTACTGATTGCAATTTCATATTCTCTGGTCGGTTGATATATGATACTGATCGTCACAGGGAACAAGATAAAATGTAGTAATTTCCATAACATGAACGTCATATGGACGCCTCCGCGATACAACGTGTTACTGCGCACTACATATGATTATTTGCTATCATTGATTTCTACTTTGGAATCGACAGAACCCGGAATGAAGTCTTTTTAATTTTAGACGCTGCACTGAAAAGAATTACAATGAGGGTTATTTTTCTAGGACCTGAGATACTGCTATGTTAGCTATTATCTAGCAAGCGGTTTATAAAGAATCGAGAGTACTTAAACACTTGGCCTGCTGGTTTCTGGTTTAGCTGTCTAAATCATTGATTTTGATAGTCAATATTTGCACATCACTCTCCGATCTGCATTAATGTCATACTGATGCCATTTACCCATGGGCTACATACCGACGCATACAAGCTGATGACACCTGGAGATACAGGCAATCTTATGCTAACCACCTTACTTTAGTCTTACTACTACTCGTACGTGACAACAACACCAAGAGCCTTTAATATCGTACAGTCTGTGCTGCTTTGATTGTTAGTTATTGCCTGCTGTTTTCGAAAACTAGCCAGAAAGAAGTGATTATTGAGAAGCCAGCAATATACAGAAAATGGGGGTGGGAATAACCACCTTATGTAATCAAGCAATGCAAACATCTAGTTAATACCAACCCTGGAAAGTCGAACGCTGCCATAAAAGGGCCTCGTTGCACAGGGTTCATATACAGCTTCGAGTCACTGTAATCAAATGTCAAATATTATGCTAAAAGCTGCAAAAGGAAAAAAACACCTATTCAGTCAGGGTTTGTGGAAGCAGTTTTCATATCGGAATTACAGTCTCAAAAAGATGCCACCTGTTCCCAATCCCAATGCTCACTGTCAACATTCAGTCATCAGTCAAAACACACCAGAGGCGCGCTACCCTGACAACCTAGGGGAATCATGTCAATAATGATCTGGTGGTCAAAATATTACTTCGGTGCCATTACAAAAACATGCAGTTGGAAGTAAAACACTTGAAAGGCAAATT